TCGTCCCCGGCCCTGTCCCCGCCGCTGCGCTCAGACCCCGGCCCCCGGTCTACGACGACGGTCCCACCGGCCCAGAGGCCGAGGACGCCGGCGACGAGACGCCCGATGTGGACCCGGAGCTGCTGAGGTACCCCCGCAAGGGGTGGGCAGGGGGCGGCGCCTGCATCCCCGGGCTGTGGCGGGGGGGCGGGTAGGAGGGCGAGGGGCGGCGGGGGGGGCCTGCCTCACAGCGTGCTGCCAACACCTAGGCCCTGGGATCCTAGGAGGGAGTGGGGACCGCCACCCTAGGTGTTAGGGTCAGAGGTGCTTGGCTGCGGAGACAGTGGGGAACGGGACTGCCGGTCCCGGGCGCGGGAGGGGGGGGCTCAGATGTCCGGTTGCTGGGGGAGGAGTGGGAGGCAGGGAAACCACAGTGTGTGCGCTGGGAGGCAGGGCCAACGGGAAAGCAGTGGGCTGGAGACGGCCGGGTCCCCGGGCGGTATGGGCTTGCAGGGCCGTCTGGGCCCTAGGGCAGCGGCGAGGACGCGCGGCACAGCCTCACTGCCTTCCTCTCGGGCTCTCCGGCAGGTACTTGTTGGGGCGAATCCTCGCGGGGAGCGCCGACCCCGAGGCTGTGGCTGCCCCGCGCCGCCTCCGCCGTGCTGCCGACCAGGATCTGGGCCCCGAGGTGCCCCCTGAGGGGGTGCTGGGGGCCCTGCTGCGGGTGAAGCGCCTGGAGACCCCATCGCCCCAGGCGCCGGTGCGCCGCCTCCTGCCCCCCTGAGCACCGCCCGGGTCCTGCGCACCCTCGGGCCCAGGACCACCCCATCCCAACACCCCGACTGCTCCCCGTCGGCACATCGAGAGCGGCTTACCCCGTCAGCCGCAGTTGCAGCCCTAGAACCCCGAGATCCCCGCCTTTGGCCCCACAATAAATGCGATCTGAAGCAGCTCTATGCTTGTCCAAAGTGGCAGTTTCTGGGGGGGCTGGTGGGCTGAGTGGCGGTGGTGGCCCTTAGACAAAGGCAGAGGGGCCCCTGCCCTGGGTGGGCCCTTTAGAGCCCCCCTCCCCCACTCTGTGCCCCTCTTCTCACTGGGGGAGGCATGGGCCCCACCCCACAGGGCTCTGAGGACACTTTCAGGGCCTGCAGCAGCATTTTCCTGGGGTCCATCCTTCTGAGGACCAAGGGGTGGCTGTGAGGCCTGAGTGGTTTGAGCTGCGCCTCCGGCGGTGTCCACAGGCCCCCATGAGCCTTCCTGCCCCGGGGGGGGTGGCGGTGGTAAGGGCTACCAGTGGGAAGAGAGGGGGTGGGCTGCAGGCCAGGGGGCGGTTGGCCTTCCCAACACACCCCTCCTTGCATGGGGCATGGGGCTCTGCATGTGAGCAATTCAAACTTGGGCCTCCAGGTCATGAAGAAAGCGTACCTGTCAAGGCAGGGAGATAGGATGCACTGTTTGCGTTTGTTAGCTTCATCTGTAATGTTTAGATATTTAGTTATACGGTATGGAGGGATGCTATCTGTATTCTCACCCCGACCTGAAGATACTGCGAGTTGTGGCGGGAGCTGGTTTATGCTCCGGCCTTCGCACCGGCTTTACTTCCCTGCACGGTTTTACTCAAACGTCACCTACTCAGTAAGGCTTTCCTTGACCTCCCTGTCACTCTATTCCTACCCTCGCTTTTAATACATAGCCTCATGTTACATCTGCGAGGGCAGGGATTTCTAAGGGTCATGTTTACCTCTACATCCTTTGCACCCAAAGCAGGGCCTGGCACACAGCGGGCTCCCCCCATTTCTTGAATGAAAGAATTCTCACAACTCAAGTAACATCCTCCCCAGTTTCACTCCCACCCACGTAACACTTGGCACAGAGGCAGCTTTGAAACCTGAGAACACCGTTTATTTAATTTGGCACACAATCTCTTCGCTCGCCAGTTACCATGATGCCCATCACCAAACGAAAATCTCCCCAACAGAGGGATTCATCTATCCCCAGTACACCAACAGTGTCCCACACAGCTAGTTGCTGGGGTGGGGGGGGGGAGGGGGAGGTGGCCGCCTGTCTAGGATCCACCACCCTGGCCTGGGGGCAGGCCACTCTTCTTGACCGAGATCTTCAGGCCACAGAACAGCCGCAGCGGCACATGGCCTTCTGGTGCCGGGCCTTATCCCCACCCGGCCCTGTCATGGCCTCCTTTGCCATGGCCTCCCGGACCTTTTGGATCTCATGGATGAGCAGGGTAAAGGCCTCCTCTACACCTTGCCGTGTCTTGGCTGAGGTCTCCACGAAGGGGGCCCCCCAGCTCTTCGCAAGGGCTGCAGCAGCAGCCCGAGCATCTCCGGTGGTGCTCACAAGGTCACACTTGTTGCCCACAAGGACGAGGGGCTGGGTGTGGTGAGGGCCCCAGGTGGCCCGCATCTGCTGCAGCTGGGCTAGAGACGAGGGGTCATCCAGGGCGAAGACCCCCAGCACGCCATCCCCAATCGCCACGCACTGGTCACGCAGGGCCCTGTGAGTGGCCTGCCCTGCCGTGTCCAGCACGTTCAGAATGCAGCCCCCATGGCCCAGGGCCACCTCCTTCCAGTAGGAATCCTGGATCGTGGGGTCGTGGTCTTCCACGAAGCACTGGTGGTTCAGCTGGATGGTGAGCGCACTCTTGCCCACGCCACTCGCGCCCACCACGACGGCCTTGTACTCGGGCAGCTGCTTCCCGACACTCTTGGAGGGTGCCTGAGCCCTCTGGCTCTCCTCCTCAGAGCTAAGGCTCCACGTGCCCAGGCCCAGATCAAACATGTTGGCATTTCTCGGCAGCGCCATTCCCCCGGTGCACAGCTCAGGAAAGGGATGTGGACAGCAGGCCCTGCGAGGGAAAGAGAACAGAAGACAAGGGGGAGGGGCGGGGGGAGGTTAGGCAAGACCACTCGGGGGCAAGGGGTCAGCTGGGTGTCATTGAATCAACATTTACTAAGTGCCTAGGTGTGTGCAAAGCACCTTCTAGTAGGCCGAACACTTGATGTTGCTTAATCTCTGTCCGTCTCATTCCCTCTACGTGAAGGCGGGGATTTTAAGAGCAGCTTTATTTAGATGTAATTTATATACCACGGTTAATCTAGTTAAAAGTGCACAATTCAATGTTTTTGTTTTTGTTTTTGTTTTAGCATTTTCCCACTGTTGTGCAACCATCGCCATAATCTAAGAACATTTTCACCCCCCGGGGAAAAGAGCTCCTGCCCGTTAGCAGCCCCTCCCCCTTCCCCGGGGGGGGGCGGGGATTTGGGTCAGTTTTGATTTTGGTTTTGGATCGTATCACCGTTGAGCCCCAAGCCCGGCACTGTGCCGGTCGCAAATCATATGCCGAGCAACATTCCTGTCCCCAGGGAGTTTGTATTCTAAAAGGTGGAGACAATAAATCAAATAAGTCGGCAAATTATGAGGTCGGTTAGCCATTAGCATTAGAATTTAGTCTTTCTTACGTATTCAGCATGCGGCTATTGAAAACCCACTGTGTGGCAAGGACAAACAACTGGGGAAAATAGTCAAAATAGTTAACAAGCCCCGGCCCCCAAGGAACGTGACAACAACAAAGATAAATCAGTAAAATATACTGCAACAATAGGTGATAAACAGGTGGGAGATGCTTGGTTAATGTTAGGCCTTTTTATTATCATTTAATTTTCATGCATTATTTCCAGCGTCTTCCGGCGAGCGGGGTATTGTGATGGGTGTGGGGAAGGAAGGTGGGAGGTGTGGGGGTGGGGAAGTGGCAGCGAACAAAATAGACTAAAATCCCTGCCCTTGGGAGGATTAGATTCTGGAAGTGAGAAGGAGACCATCAACAAGATAAGCAAGTAAATTATCATGCAGTTAGGAGAGGATGGGCACACAGCAGGTGCTCAATTAGTGTTAGCTATTAATAGCAAATTACCATTAAACTTATTCAATACACATCCTGGCCTCGGTTCCGTGTGTGGCCTCAGGAAATGCATCACAATGGCTGCTACCCCGAGTCTCTCTGGAAACCCGGGGAGAATGGCAGTTTGGGGGCAGATGGTGGGTTCGAGGTCTCGGTGGGGGGTTCTGTTGAATTTGGGATCTGGAGGTCAGGGTTGGGGGGCGGGGAAGGTCCCAGGTGGGGATGCAGCTGTGAGGTCCTCGGCCCAAAGAGACTCCTGGCAATAATTATTAGATGCTCTGGCCCAGAAAGAAGGGGGGCCACAGTGAAGAGAGGTAAACTGAGGACCGATCTCTGGGGGGGGGTCCCCCGAACCCTTGGGGACAGAAAGAGGGAGAAGATGTAGCAGCGAGGACAGACCGAGAGGCAAGGGCGAGGGCGGAAGCAGCGAGGAGGCCGCTGCAGGGGTCCAAAGCCATCATCGATGGAGACGTCAGATTCTAAGGTGGAACGAACTGCCAGGATTTGCTCTCAGAGCCAAAGGCGGTGCGTGGGGCGTGGGGAGGGGTGAAGGCTAACTCTCGAGTGTGGGGTCCGGGCAGCTGGGAATCTGAGGGTGCCCGCGCCCGAGGCCGGGGACACGCGAGACGGGCTCTCCCCCGTTGGCAAAGGGCTCCAGGAGCGGTAAAGAGCGGCAGGAATGATTTCCCGGGACGTGGGCCTGCGGCAGGGGAGCCGCCTGACGGCCCCGCGACTCTTCCCAGCGCCCCCGAGAGCCTGGGCCATCCGCAGCCAGGCCGCTGTGTCGGCGCGGAACAGCGCGGCCGCCGCAAGCGAGGTGACGGTGGCGGTTTACCCGCCGGAGGCCAAACGGCCCCGCGGGGGACCGGACCGACGGCAGTGGGGGTCTCCCCCTCCGCGAGGGACCCTGAGCCACTTGCTGTGGGCCGAGAGCTACGAGCGTCCCCAAAGGGCCCCTGAGACCCTGCCACCCCCGCCTGGAGCCACCTGGCCCACGGCGTGTGGATTCGCCCAGGATCCAGGAGTGCGCGTCGAGGGGAGGGAGGCACCGGAACCTGGGCCTCTACAAACGGACACCCGCGCCGGGCGACGCTTCCCTTGACTCAGCCCGGGGAGGTGCGGCTGGGGGACCCACAGGTTCTCCCCTAAAGCTGTCCCCCGTACTCCGGCCGGCCCAGCTCGTCCGGTTCTTTCTTGGGGGCCGGGGCGCCCCAATCCCGAGGCTCGAGCCCACAGCCCCCGCTTCCCGCGCGCGCGGACACCCGCACCCAGGCCTGTCTCCGCTAAGGCGGCTGAGCGAAAACGGGAGGAGGTAGGGGAAGGGTCCCCCTCCAAGCCCACCTCCGTCGCGCCCCCACAGCCCACCGCGGAAAGGCCTTCCCGCTCGGGGCCGGGGGCTGGAGGCCCGGCGGCCCGGCTCACCTCGGTCCTGGGCAAGGCGGGAGTGCTCGGACCCGAACCCACCGCAGCTCTGACAGGACTGACAGAGGAGGAGATGTTCCCACCCCACCCCAACGGGTAGGGGGGTGGGGAGGCGGGGGGCGGGAGGGGCAGAGGGAGAACGCATGCGCAACGGCGCTCCCAGGCCCCTCTGCCGGCACGCCCCCCTCCCCTCCCGAGCGGTGGGTGTGGGGTGGCGCCCCCGCCAGTAACCAACCGGCCGCAAAGGAGGTGGTCTTGGGGGTGCACCGAGCCAGCGGCGGGACCTCCCTGTGTCCCCCCTGCTGCACCTCTTCCTTACCTTGCCTCCCTCTGGGAGGTGATTTCATGTTTTTAGCTTACGGAGGGTGTCACATTTTTGACCTGAGTGGCCAGACTTTGGCGTAGGTCTCATGAGGGCCTCAAGCAGAGCCTGGGCGGTCTCAAGCAGGCTTTTTGGAAAGCAGCTTGGGGGAGAGGGTTGTGCCTGTTGCTGGAGGGAAAGAGTTGCAGGGGAGGGTTATTGTGTCAGGGCCTTAGGAACCTGATTTGAAGTGGATGGGTGTCAAGCTCAAACATTTCCCAGACTCCCTTGCAGCTATGGCAGCCATGTGACACAGGTCTGACCAATGAGATGGAAGCCCACGTTGTTGAGGGGGGCATCCAGAATGTTCCTTAAAAGAGGGATCACTGAGTTGGCCACAGCCCCCTGCCCCTTCTTCTTGACTGGGTGGGGCTCCGGTGGCCCACCCAGTGGGTATCTTGGGTTCATAAGGTGGCCATGAAGAAAAGCCTAAGAAACCTCAGCTTGAACTGTTCTGAGTTGCCAAAGAAATTCTCATTATGTGGGAGAAATAAAACCCCCAAACTATCCTCTAGTTCCTCATCCCTGGTCAATGACAGGCACTCCTTCCCCTAGGAGGTTACGCATGACCACCAAATCTAAGTATGGAAAACCCAGACCACCCACACCCGAATCAGGACAAAAAGACAGATGGGGAGACTGAGGCCTGGTGAGGACACTTCCTGATGGCTGTCTTGCCTTCTCGGCCCGGGGTGTAGCTGGGACTGGCTGTGAGGCTATTTCTAAGGCAGGCACTCATTTGCTCTGGGATTCTGCCATTTAATCTACAGTCGAGCCAGTCAAGCTGCTTGCCCTATTTCCAGTCCGTTTTTTGGACACTGGATGGGCAGGGGGTTGACCTGGTAGAGACCCATGCCCTCATTGCTTCATTACTCAGCAGACCAGGGGTTGGCCAGGGGTGTGAGGTTCTTCACCCACTTAAGATTAAAAGGCTCTCTCCAGGTTTTGTAACAGCTTGTCCTTTATTACAAATGGAACTCTGCTATATATTGTCAGTTGATTCCCCTCTCTTCGTGATATCAGCCCCCTCTTGGGACCACTGAACCCCCCCTTTCCTTCCAGGGCAGAGAAGATGGAGTCCCTCCAACAGACAGTGGGCAGAGGGAGATTTACAACTGATCATCACAGTCCTCTTACAAGTATTTATGCTTAAATCGGCACCCTTGGGGAGGTGAAAAGAGTCTTCAGGATGGAATGGAGTGAGGCTGCCCCTCATCCAGGTCCTCAGAAGGTGGAGAAGAGGGGCACGTTCTGGGATTTAGTGTGAGTGGGGCATGTTCTCCCCGAACTTGTTCTGGTGAGCGATGTTCTTCACATCCAGGAGAGCCTGAGGGCGCAAGAGGGTAGGTGAGAGAGAGTGAGGACCCCTCTACCTCAGCCAGGGGGCTGCCCCACCCCAGCCCTCGACAACCCTTCTCCTGCACTCTCCAATCTCCCCTTATCCCAGCACAGAAGGCGTGTGTGTGCACGCACTCTCGGGGCTGCCCAGGACCCACCTGGTGGTGGACATAGGCCTCACAGTTGTAACACCAGGTAGACAGGTCGACGTAGCTGAGGACCAGCGGGTGTCCTGAGACTTCGTGGTGTTGGAGCATATGGGCACTGACGTAACGGCCACAGTGGACCTGAGGTTGGGGGAGGGAGCATCGGGTGGGGATCAGCAGCCACGTGCAGGCGGCTCCTGGGCCGACCTCCGCCCCCCCACCCCCCCAGCCCCCTCCGCTGCCGCGTACCTGATAGCAAGATAGACACAGCCAGTTCTCCTGGAGTGTTCCACAGTCCTGACAAGGTTGGGTCACGTCCAGGCCCGATTCAGGTATGGGACGTACTGCCACCAAATGGGGACACCAGGGCAGCGGTGTCACGGCATAAAACATGACCTGGAGTGGGTGAAACGGAGTCAGCTAGGGACTCCATCTCCATGTCACATGTTCTCACACCGCACGCTCCTACGTGGAGGCGCACATGGGCAAGAGAAGGACGCCAGTCTCCTCCCTGACCCGAGCTCACCTGGTCGGCGTGGGCATGGTCCCCAAAGCTCTGAATCAGCACGGAATCTTCCCTGTCCTGACCTCTAGCTGCCTCTCCTAGCAGCCCCTCCTCTTCTGCCATCTGAGATTCTGGTGCCTCCTGGAAGCACAGAGGTAAGAGATGCACCTGAGAGGCCGGGTTCTGGCCCCTTCTCCCCCCGCCGACCTGGGTGTGGTGGGGCTTACCTGAGCCTCGCTGTTTAGGTCCAAGGTCCTGAGATTCTCAGTCAGCTTACTGGGGGCTATCTGGGCCGTGGCTCCTTGCGCAGGTGAGGCTGGAGGAGTCTGGTTGTCAGTACATAAGGCTGGAGGGGTTTGGATCACCGCAGCTCCCCCCACGGCTTCCTCTGAGGTGGTCTGGCCCGGCGTGGCTCCAACTGTGGCAGACTCCACGATGGTCTGGTCCAGCGTGGCCCCTCCTGTGGCTGCCTCTGAGGGTGTCTGGTCCGCCGTGGCTTCCCCAGTGGGAGCCTCCGAGGTTTGGTCCTGACTGAGCTCCACCACGGCAGTCTCTGACTTAGCTTGGTCTGGAGTGGCCACTTCCATGGATGATGCTGAGGTAGCCTTCCCTGCGTCCGCATCCAGAATGTTCCCATCTGGTGCGGTCATCCCCACAGCTGACCCACGGTTGGCTGGCTGGGTCAGCTTCTTGGGGATCGACTTAGAACTGGAGGGTCCCTCCTTGTCTTCGACCTCTGGAACCACAGGAGGGAGATCCTTGAGCGTGGGTGCTATCCCCTATCCTGCATCTGATCCCTGCCCTCTCCCGAGCCCCCCACAGCCCCCCGTTCCCCACGCCTGCTCACTCATGGCCCGCAAGCTGCGCCAGTATCTGCGATGGACTTGGATGGTCTCGGTGATGGAGGCCAGGGCCCCTGACAGCGGGGGCCGCGACAGGGTTAGCAGTGGTGGTGGGTCCCCAAGGAGGGAACGGGTGCAGGCAGCCATGGACTCCGAGATGGATGTCAGGTTGTAGCCACCCTTTGTTAAGAAAAAAGGGGAGAAAAAGGTATGATGGGGGGTCCTCATGGAATTTGGGAGGCAAGAGGTTCTGCCTCCCAATCCCCCTTCGGGGCCCTGGGAGTCTGGAGGGTGAGGACAAGTGAGGGGAAGTGTCATCTGTCAGATGGGCAGTACTCACCGTGTGAGGTGGTTGTTGAGGGGGATAAACTATGACGTCGAGTGCAAGAGAATAATTACCACAACGACAGTAACACTGAGGGTCACATCGGTAACGGCGGGTGCGCTGCACCAGACCCTATTTGGAGCATTTCGTGTGTGTCGACTCTCCTGATCCTTACAACCACATGTGCTCAATCTGCACGGGAACCCCCTTTCCTCACATTCTTTAGGCACCCCAGTCTCTGCTCTTTCTACAGATAAAGACACTGAGGCTTGGAGTGGTTAGATAATGTGTCTGAGGCCCTAACAACTGGTGGGAGGCAGCGCTGGGGTTGGGAGCGGGGCTACCGGAGGGAAGAGTTCATGTCCTCGACCACTCCCCTGCCCTGCCACAAGCAGGCCTGGGCCCACCGTGGGACCTGAGAGCAGCCAATTAATCTCTGCCAGCAACCGGGCTTATCCTCTAAGCAGTGAAAGGTAGCACGTAAGGTGGCTGAGAGGGTTCAACCTGGTATGATGACTCACGGCGATAAGAAACTACTTAGACAGTGCTTACCGCATGCCAGGCACTTTTCCACGAGTAGCCAGCCCCATCTTATAGATGAGGAAACTGAGGCACGGGGGGGGCAGGGGCACTGAGTGACTTACAAAAGGTCAGTGGGTTTACTTTGTCTGGAGAGCTTGCTAGAGGCAGCTCAAGTAGTGGTAAAAAGCTTAGACGCTGGAGCCAGGCTGCTTGGCCCTGCCATTACTGAGCATGGGACCTCGGGCTAATCACCACACCTCGCCGTGCCTCAGTTTCCCTGCTCTTGAGAGAGGAAAATGACGAGGCCAGCAGACTCGACCTCAACAGGCTGCTTTGTCAAGTAAGTGAATTAATAATATACACGGAGTGCCCAGAAGAGCGAATGGCACGTACTGAGCACTCAGTTAAGGCCGTTAAGCCGGTGTTGTGCTGAATGCCCAGTATGTGCCGACAGTCCCAGGCGGGGACACTCAAAGCCGGTTTTAGGAAATTGCCCCAAGTGTCTCAGCCAGCCAGCTGGAAGGACAGGACTTCCAGCCTTCCAAACCGCCCTCCCACCGCAGGAAGAGGGACTGAGAGGGTTACCTCTAGGATCAGGATGATACGGCCATTGGCAAGGCCCATCAGCAGGTGGGTGAGGTGTGCATAGCCCTCGGGTGACACCTGGCAGCCCCCCAGCGGGTCCCCCCGTGCAGCATCAAAGCCAGCCGACACCAGCACCAGTTCTGGGTTAAACTGAAGCAGGGAGAGAAGAGACACATGGCGTGAGTGTGGAGGCCTGGGTAGCCAGCAGGTGAGGGCACCCCAGACACACACAGATGCAAGTCAGAGAGCCGGAGACGGGGAGACTGGGGGACACAAGACCAGGGCCCTGAAAACAGCAAGGGGAGGACGTGGAGACACAGGACAGACTCGGGGTTGGAGAGACAGATCAACAGAGACGTGGACGCACCAAACAGAGACTTAGAGATGTGACACACAGAGACATGGAGACACTTCTAGAAACGGACAAATGGGGACATGAGGCCGAGACGTGCAATGTAGAGACTCAGATGTCAGGAGACGGTGACACGGGACATATGTGCACAACAACACAGGGCTTTGTATAAACGGCGCCAAAGGGAGGTGCACGCACACTTCCATCACAGAAGGTGACAAGGCAAGTGCTACACACAGAAAATGGTCGCATACCCGTATGTGGCCAGACGGCAGCATAAGGACTGAACCGACATGTGCTAATCACACACACATACACACACACACGCGCGCGCGCAGTGCCCACCAAGAAGGCAGTCGCCTGTAGCCCCTCACGCAGAGTCAGGCAAGCACAGACAGGCCCCCCCGCCGGTCAGAGACACACACAGCCGCGGCAGACAGGCAGACAGAGGCCTGTCCCACACACCCTCCCACACGCAGAAATCCACACACCAGCTGTCGCCGAGAGCACACCCGAGAGAGGCACGGTAGCGGCCAAGACCCATCTGCGCAGCCTCACACACGCGCTCACACACTCACACGCACAGAGCCGGCAGGCGCGCGGGGCCGCCTCACACGTGCCCACCGAAGACCCCCGCGAGCACCCAGGGGTCCCTTACGGTCACGCGCACAGAGGCGGTCACGTAGAGCCACTCTGCGGAGGCAGGAATAGGCCCAGGCCTTCGCAGAGTCAGCCCCCAACACAGCCCTCACTAGGGCCGCCCATTGGGACAGGTGCGGGCCCGCGGTCCCCCACGCGGTCACTGCCGCGTACATCCCGTACCGTACCTCGTAGGCAATAGGGAGCACCAGACGATGCCAGGCAGCCAGGTAGTCGGCGTCGCCCACGCGGGGCCCGTTCCAGGCCACGTTGACGGTGAAGCCGGTGCCCGTGGCCCGGCCTATCTGGCTGCTGGCGCCCTCATCCCCCATGGGAAAGAAGGTGCCGTGATCATATCGGTGCAGGGAAATGTACAGCACGCTGCCGGGGTGGGAAGGGGGGCCACGGCTGGTTAGTGGGCCGCCCCCGCCCGCCCGGCCACCCCTGAGCATGCATGGCTGCCCCCCCTGCCCCGGCCCCTCACCTGGAGTCTTGCTCAAATATGTGCTGAGTTCCATTACCGTGATGGACGTCCCAGTCCACTATGAGGATCCTGGGGAGGGAACTGCTCCTCAGTGACCTGGGACACTGGCCCACTCGGGAAGGGGGCAGGGGCTGGAGCCCTGGGGTCTGTCTGCAGGGGCATTTTATTGCTGGTGGCAAAACTCTGGGTCCCCGGGGAAAGCAGTGTGGGGCAGGCTGGCGGTCCCATCAGAGGAAGGGTGCAAGCCAGAGCCTGGGTCCTGAGGTCTTCACTGTGGGCCCAAGCAAGTGCTCAGGGCCAGAGCCTCCTGCCCGCAGGATGGGTAAATGTGGGCAGCCGGATCCTGGGTCTTCTTTAGTAAGCACTGGGGACCTGGACCCTGAATTCTGTCACAACAGCCCTCAGGGGCCAGAAATGAGGGAGCAGGGGGACCCTGGATCTTGTTTTATTAACTACCTGGGTGCCACAGTCTGGGGGTCCTATCTGGGGAAGCGCTGCAAGGCTAGATCCTTGGTCCTTTTCTGGGGAAGCGCTGGGCGATTGTACTCTTGGGTGTTTCTGGGTAAGTCCTGGGGGCGCTGCACCAAGGGGCCTGCTGAGTAAGCCCTGGGCTGGGGCGGGGGGTGGGGGGGGAGCGCAGGGAGCCCTCACCGCAGCGCATGCCCACTGACGGCTTGGGCATGGCGAGCAGCCACAGCCACAGAGTTGAAAAAGCAAAAACCACACGCGGCATCCCGCTCTGCATGGTGTCCTGGGGGACGCACCACAGCAGTGCCATTCAAAACCTGGGGGGAGGGGCAGGAAGCAAAGATCAGACCACCTGCCCTCACTGCTTTCTCTCCCCTTTCTTCTCCCCTTCCGTCCCGGCCACTACCCCCAGCTGCTAGGGGCCTCCAGCCTGCAGCCCCATCCCCCCGCTGCCCTGGCCAGCAAGCAAGGCCTCCGGGGAGCAGGGGTCCCCCTCCGCAGGCCCCGCCCCGCCCTCCCAGGGCCCCCACCTCTCCCGAGCGGCGGCCCACCCCGCGGAGGAGGTACCTCGCCGGCCAGCACGGCTTCCACCAGGCGGCAGGCGGCGCCAGTGGCCAGCTGTGCGCAGGCGAAGGTGTCGGGGCAGATGTAGATGGAGTCGAAGCTGGAGCCCTCGCGGTGCAGCTCCCGGGTTTTCATCTTCGCTGTGGCCCGCAGACGACCCACGTACTCAGCACTGGAGGCACAGACGGGGCACAGGGGACAGTCAGGTGGCTACGGCCCCTCCCGTGTCCCACAGGGACGGGAGAGCCCTTACTCCAGCCCCCCCGCCCCCCCCGCGGGTGGCATGAGTGCCCTGAGGCCCCATCCCACCCCAGGCACGGGGTGGGGGTGGGGGGTCCCTGACCTGTGGCAGGTGAGCAGTTCGGCATCCGTGGCGGGGCGTGCGGGCAACGTGAGGCAGCGCCCCGCAAGGCCCAGTTCTTCCAAACGGCGCATGATCCGGAAGACTCGCTGAGGCATCTC